TTTATGTATGTATGTATATTAGGGTGCTCCAAAAACAGTAAAGTCGGATTTTTTATGCTCTCACCCCCTAGGATTGCTTTATACCGACATAAATATACCCTATTTTTTATTTTGAAATCTAAAAATATTTAGAGGCCCAAACTTTTCCATGAATTTTATATGCGAAAAAACTTTGGACCACCCTAATGCATATTCTACTCTTACTCATGCGTACACGTTCGCGCACGTGAACAACGTGAGCAACCCATGTGCGCGAGCGGTTAGACAACCCGTGCCGAGCTTGGGGTGATGCCAGAAAAACGTGGGAGTTTTGTTGGGGCCAATCCGGTGGGGTTTTGATTGTTCGCTGGCTTTGGGACCCACCACGCACAGCTCCAATAAGGAGCCTAAATATCCGCAAGGTAAAAAATATCTACGTGCTGCTTTGGGACATCTACTGCAGTATTTCAGTGTCGAATTAGGGGGAAGCTAGAGAGACGCTCCGTCGGCGAATACTGTCCTCCATCCCGGTGAACGAGTTTCCAACATCTCGTTCAGTTATGCCCACGCCCACGCCTTGCCAAAAAAGAAGGACGGGCGACAATCTATGTAACCAGAATGACCTAGATCTAGTCAAAGACTGTCATTTCAGTTGATTTCCCAAAAGCTTCTCCTTGGGTTATTTCTATGCTATTCCAAGAACAACGAGGTGGTCAAAGACTTCTTCGATGGGGGTTCGGTACGCACTAATTAGCATTTCACCGATTCATGATATAAAAACCATGCGACGGGATCGATTTAAATGCCAGGCTGGGCAAGGAAGTGATCTTTGGTCCCGCTATAGCAAAATACGCACCACTATCTTTCAAAATAAAGGAAGCTCTCAGATTGCATGGATCTTTCAAGAGAAAAAAAATTAAATCTGAATCGAAAATGCTGTGACAGAAGCTTCCGGTATTTTAGTTGTGCTTACGATCGAGGATCATACAACGACTCAGATCGCTGCTTCGTTCTAACCCCGATACGCAAACGTCGCTCTGCAACAAAAAATATGCGCCCATCAAAACAAGGAAAGCTCAACGTCGAAAATCTGCAATCATAATACATTTTCCAATCGACTCACACAAATCATATGTATTTGAAAGTACCCTTCAACAACCCGATATATGCAATACGCGATGGGGAATGTCACGCGACGAAAGAGAGAGAGAAAGAAAAAAGTGACTGCGGGAAAAGCTTTATGGGCGATACTTAGATCTTTCGAAAACTTTAGTACAAAGTAAGGCGACTTATGTAGAGTGTGAGCAGCGGTGCGAACTCTTGTATTAACAATCACGGCAGCCTAGTGAACAAGCCAAAAAGCAATGCCAGAGTTTATATTATCTTCTGCGAAACTAGCGCGGCAGTGTAAAATTGAGACGGGCCTTTCCAAGCGATTTGATACAAACGAAGATTCAGATGGCTTCTTAAATCTGGTGCTGGAGAAGATAATAAGGCCTGCAGAACTATTTTTTATAAGATCAACGGCTTCTACAGACGTTCCAGTGGTTCTGCCTTCTGCCAGCAGGATATGGAAGCAAAGCCAATATGTGGAGTTGAACGAGGGCAATATCAAATACCTATTGTCATCCAATAACCAGTCTGCTAATTTTATGAAGAAGTGCCAACAACTGATACTTCGAACTGAGAAGGGAAGTTCTCCCGGGCTGTACAAAAACCACGCTCTGTAAGTTGCACACATTGCCTATGCGGGCATATAGCGCAGAAGCTTGGACAATAACAACATCCGATGAAGTGGCCCATGGGCTATTCGAGAGCAAGATTTTGGGGGATATCTACGAGCTCTGAGCTGTATGAGCCTTACAACATATTGCAATACAGCGGTTCTGCTAGCTTGATCGCGATGTACGAATGGACTCGAACGCCGAAGCAATAAAAGTATTCAAAACGCTTTCTGCTGGTAGTAGCAAAGGAAGAGGAGGGAAGCCTCCTTTCATTTCCAATTGGCGTTAGTTGACATGAATTAAAACGACTGGCATGCTCCATGGGACTCACACAAGAAGAGAAATAACTACCACAACTACCCTGTTCTACTTACTTACTATTCAACTTACTACTCAATAATTTCAATTAATTTATGTATTCTACTACAAATTGCTGTTCTGTAAAATTAATATATTGCCCTAAATAATGCAAAGCATTCATAAGCTTAAATAAATCCAAATGATTCTCACGAGCTCTGGCGATTGTGTGAAAACTATCTTAAGCATGACAGGTAACAAATACATTTATCAGTCACACTTGGCTAACGATTGAGCTATTGTGTATGACCAACAATGAATAGCAGCCAACAGCAATCACTTCGACAAGTTAACATTATTAATACACATATGTATGTATGTATGTAGTTAATTGCATGTACGTACTCGTACACCTGATGAATCAGTGACCACAAGGGATCTCAATGCTAAAGATAGTTGCATAGCTAGCGATACATATGCACATAAATGCATCCATAATTATATAGACTTACTAGCATAATGTGAGTACTCTTATCAGATTACAGCTTACAGCTATTGAACTTGTAAATTAACAAATGCCACTGGGCGACGCGTAGAGATACGTATCGTCGTTTAAAGTGCAAAACCGCGTATCTGCAAAATGCAAAACCGCGTATGTGAAGTTGTAGAAATTATTTTCTAGAGCGTAAAAACACTCATATTTCAAAATGGTTCTCTGTTTTATAAAGTAATCGCATTTCTGGCTAGTATATTTCAGGACGAATGGATAAGGATTGAGCCAAGAGCTTGTGTGAGCAAATCCAATTTTTGGCAGCCAAGGTCAGTTACCCGGTTTTGCAGAATGACGACTTTAAACGACAGTATATATGTATGAATGAATCTTGGTGTAAAGTTGTTTCACTTGACTGATTAGCAATTTAATCGAACTCTTGGCATTTGCTTGAAACTATTAAGCTAGCATTTCAAGATACTATTGATATACATATATGAAGGGAAAACTTGGTAGTTACATATGTATATGTTTTTTACTTTCGTTCAGTTTTTAGAAAACAATTAATCTTTCGAAATACAGAAACGAGCTTTCAAGATAGTTTCCGGAATTGGCAATTGTCATATGAAAGGCTGGCCTGAGTTGAAAGACAGATGCCAGAATTTACCCTGTTAGCGGTATTGTTTGTCTTTTGTAAAACAGTTTCTAAAAATTAAATACAATTTATGAAAATAGTTTTCTTTTTAAAACAATAGAATCTAAAACTGAAAATAAAAATAAATTAGAAAAGCAAAAAATTAAATACTTAAAAGGAATTGCTAAAAATAAAAAAAGGAAATAGATAAAAAAAAAATAATTAAAAAATTAAAAACGAAAAATTAAATTTCTAAAACTTATAAAAGAAAAAAAAATAAATAAATAACGAAAAAGAAAATATACTTGCAAGAAGACTCAGTGCGCTCAAAATGATATGTATAAATAACTATTTTCATATTTGATTACAAACTGAAAGAAAAAAGTAAGCGACCGCAACTGTAGTCATACTTAAATTAACTAATCAGCTCTTATCTTTTTAACGGTGGAGGAAACAGATTTAACGGTCATTAATCAACTGCCCGTTAGATCTAATTTAATGAACGTTTTTGAGCGCGGCTGTAAGACGTTAACAAGCAGC